GAGTTCCAGACATTTCTCGGTGATTACTGTGAGTTCAGTGGGTGACACTGTTGTAGCCTCGTGCTGGTGAAAGGCCTGGTGAAATGCTCTGGGAAGTGTTTTTTGGAAGAACTGGGGGTTCACAGAAGGGAGCAAATGGAAGTATTCCCTGTAGAAAGCCAGGGATTTGGGATTTTAGACCCATACATTTCTTAGAAAATTTGAAAAGCTTTGGATTTGAAGCTTTTTAATTCCCAGCATTTAGGTAAATGACCTAAACCACAATGATAGGTTACCTCCTTGGAATGGGAGAAGTCAAAACTTGGCAGAATGAAGATTAGAAAGTGAATGGGAGCAAATGTTGCTTGGGTGTTCCGACAATAAATGCTTTATAAATATTAAAAATCAGCGGAAGAAAATGAGTCAGATTTTCAGACCAGCAGTTTTTGGGCATCATTATATGAGGGCATCAATAAAATTCAATCAGAATATGAGGAAGATCTGTAAAACCTATATTGGGGAAAAAAAGTGTTTCGGAGGGCTGCGTGATGTTCATCTTCACTCTTCCCTGCAACTTCCGTAGTGCTTGCCTAAGAGCTATGAGATTCTTAAAGGCATGACTTGTCTGCAGCAGTTAATTAACAGAAAGGCAGGGGGCTGTGATTAGAATTTGCAGTAATTCTGGAGAAAGTAATTAGAGCAGCCTTGGTATTAAGTTGTATTAAACCAGTTTTGTTAGGGATTTAACACTTCATACCCTTTTCTGGAAAAGCTTCAAGTGGCCATTTTGCCTCAGGCAAACACTCCTGGTTGGAAAGGCAGATGGCTGGGCCACTTGAAGTCCAAGGGATGGCTGAGGAGGTTTATACCCCAGAAGTGATATTGTGAAATTGCCCTACTGGAGATTAGAGCACTTTCTCCTATCACGTGGGGAGAAGGGGTAATTCCCACTGATGACCTTGATGGGATTGAGAAGACTTTAGGGCTGACTGATTCTCTCCTTCAGTCTTGCTGTATTCAGGTAGATAATCTTATCTTTCAGCAGCAGATTAATATCCTTACAGATCATTCCCAATCTGCCCTTCCATGGTTCTTGCTTCAACAGTTGAACAAAATCACCTTCTGACTCTATCTCTCCCCCAGCGGGAGCCCCTGTACTACACTGATTTCTCTTTTTTCTGTCTTTTTTTTTTCCCCCACAGACCAGCTTCTTCAGAGTGTTGGTGAATATCAGGCTTGTGCTCAGTCTGGAAAGATGTGCCAGGTTAATTGAGTCCCTTCGTGTTTGACCCGTGACCCATGGAGAGCAAACTTTCTCAGAGTAGGAGAAAGAGGAGAGGTAGGGCAGAAGGTTTATGTTGTTGTGTTTCACAGACAGCAAAAAGTGGGTCCCTGTGCTGCATGGCTTTCTAGGGAATGGATGATTTGGAGGTGTGAGGTTTGTTTTTACTACTTTTCAGCCTAAAAATTCCCAGATCATTTTTCTACAAACATGTACCCCCAAGTGTCAGAACCACTGGCTGATGGCAAGCCCTGCTGTCAAGTTCCTGCTTTGAAGAACAAAACAGAAACTCTCCAAAAACTAGAGGAGAAGAGACAGCTGTAAGTCAGCAGCTGAGAAAGAGGAATGAGTTGTGGTGTTCTGGAGTCACTTGATGTTCCTGGAGCTACTCTAACAAAGGACCCAGAAAATACAGAACTTCAGTCTAACACCACCCTCTCACTTGGATCTAGATGCTGCTGAGAAGAGGAGAATTCATTTAATGAGGAATTATGAAGGAATAATGTAATTGAAAGCCGGTCTCGTAGCCTTCATGGTGAGTGCTGTCACGGTTGCTGTCACAGTTGCTCTGTGCCAACGTGACAGGTTTTGTGGCAGCCGCACATGGTAAAGCCCTGTCCTGCAAAACCTGTGATCAGCTTGACCCACTTTTGAGCAGGGTCAAACCCGTGTTGGATCCTCAGGTGCTGATTATCTGTCTGGAGGGCTTTGTCTGTACGAGAGGCTATATGTGAGAAATCTCCTGTGGGCTTTAAAGAAAAATTAATCACTGTATCGCTTTGTTACTTTTAAGTAATTCTCCTATAAAACCATCCACAGGTTCCCAGGAATTGGAAAGCCTGTGCAGAGAGGAGCAGAGCAGGGTCCAGTGAGCACCCAGTGAAAACAGGCTGTAATCGAGTCTGTTCATGCTTTGTGGTTCTGCCCTTTCAGACTACGGGGGCATGGGCTGTGGTGAACAAGCACTTCTTACTAAACCAGTGAATCAGCTTCAATCTGGTCCCCAAAACTCTAGGCACCCCAGTTGTTTCCTTATGAAACTAATTAATTTCATATTCGGTTAAATTTCCTTGGCCATTACTGACCTGTTCACAGTGTTTCAGCAGCTCTAGGCCAAGCTGCTTGTGGGCTCTGGAGAGTATGAGGAGAGGGATGACCAGTGTCCCAGAAAGCTCCTGCTCAAATTGGAAATGACAGGGCGAGGATGGGAGGCAAGGATGCTCCTGTCTGTTTATCAGACTGGGCCCTCAGAGGTAGGAAGTGCCCTTAACTCTGGCATAGCTGGCAGCTCAGTTTATATCCTCTCCATGGTTCATGTGCTGTGAAGCTCATGTGCTTCTGCTGAGCTCAGCTTCACCATTTGTGACTTGATGTGGCCCCTCGGACTGTCCTGTGCCCTTCCCTGTGCTTCGTCTTCAGGTACCTGTAGATGGTGACCAAACCACTGTTTCTGCTGTCTCCTGGGGAGAGAGGAAACAAAGCTGCTGCTTAGAAGTGGTTGGGTGGACTGGCTCTTTCTTGAGCATCTTTACAGGTCTGACCTGTAGGGGAGGACATTGGTGTCCCTTAACACTAGAATAACCCATATGTGTACACCAACAGTAAACTGGCTTTCCCAATGTATCTTTTGAAAGCTTATAGCCTTTGAAGGAAAGATAGATCTGAGTTAAAGTAAAAAAAGAATTTAAAAAAATTCCTTCATTCACAGTTAAAATGACCTGAACTCAGCTGTCTTCTGATGCCTGAGGAAAATGTGACTGAGAATTGTATTTTGTGTTTTCTTTCACATTTTACCAAGGGTGAGCACATCATCTTGACAGAAAGGAAAGCATGGGAATTTCATCCTGGCTGCTTTGGGGAAGTAGCCCAGATTTCCAAATAAAAGATGCTTACCTGCAATGGAAAGGCTTCTGGAAGGCTACCTAGTCAGTAATTAAAAAAAAATTTTATGCAGAATGACATGTTAGTTCTTCTTATTGCTGCATTTGAGCTAGGAAAAATTGACAGATTAGTCATATTCTATTATAAATGTCTTACTGTAGCCATGTTTACATATTTATCATTAATATCAGGCTCTCATACACTTAGGATTCTGGGTAAAGATCCTACGAATTGTTTGCTTTTTGAGTCAGCCTGTTTGATTAGGAGATCTGTTCTGTAAGAAGGAAGTGACATGTCTGTTATAAAGTTAAGACATATGAATAAATACTGCATTTTCTTTATGAACGGAAAATTGAAGCATCTCATCACAAAATACATTCAATTAGCAAACTGGAAAAAATAATGGCTTTTCCAGCTATGTCATCACTTACAGCCGTTCTCTTTCACTCTTGTGCTGGAGTAGAGCCAGCCACCCTTGGTCCTCTTAGAAAGAGGATTGTTTGAAGTTTAATATCTTCTGGGAAGAAGGAAGACAGCGACATCACTGGAGATGCTGGTGCAGGTGTGACTGTGCCTGCCTGAGTTAGGTGTTCGCCCACATATTGGCTTCATCAGTATAATTTATCATGGACATTACACCAGTGTCTAAGAGATCTAGCTGGAATCAAGGTTTCAATATTTTAGGCGCTGAAGAGAAAAATACAGGAGATTTTTCAGACACTTGAATATATTAGGGTAAAACTAGTTGCTGCTGATTTTGAGTATTTCTTTGAAAGGTAGGTTTGAAAGCAATGTAAAAAAAAGATCAATCTCTCCTCCTCCAGACTCTTAAAGCTTCCAAGAGATTATGTTCCTGGGGAACGTTTTGGCTTCTGCTGTGGACCACAAATCCCCTTATCTTAATGTTGCCAAGTCTGACCTGAGAGGAGACAGTGAGGACTGGGATTATTGGAGTTTAAAAACCATGAATTTTTAAAATATAAACATACGTCTAGACGTACGCAGAAAATGAATGACAACATATATGATATGAAAATACATAGTTTCCTGCTAACAGAAATGTAATTATTCTTCCTGTATGCGCAGAATGTTTTGAGAAAAGAAGTAATATGCTGCAATTTATTTTCACAGCAGAAAATGCACTGTTATTTTTAGTGAAGGGGTAAATACATCTACCTGCCGTGTTTCCCTTTGAGACTACAACCTGTACTACGTGCTGCCGAGCACTTAGAGGAGTCCCTCACTGCTGATTCCCCGTAGCTGAGCTGTCACCTTGGAGCTAACTTTGCTTAGAGCCCCTCTGCTACGGGCCCAGCCCTCACCGCCTCTCATTTCTGATGCAGTTTGCCTTCCCTTTCCCACAGGCAGCATAAAGAACACTTTACAGCGAACAGACAAATGTTTGGAAGTGGCTGTGTGGACACGGTGGAGGAAGACAGATCCCCTCCATCCAAACACTTGCTCCCCTCAGCCCCGTGGGGTGCAAGTCGGTGTTAATGCGAACCCCACAGAGTTATCCATAAAAAGTCAGTCTTCTCTGACCCCTATTAAATGACCTTGTACGGGTGACTGAGGAGGTGTAACTCAGCAGGGAAAACGGCTCTGCTTGCGCGGGTTATTCCGGGGTGCAGCGATGGTGGGTGCGCGGTGGCTGCATCTGAACATCGCTGCTCTGCGAACTCTGAACAAACAGCCTCCAGCGGGTGCGATGGAGAGGGTCATCGAGGCCCTTCCCCAGCTGGGACGGGCAGCGCTTCCCCCCGCCTTCCTCCCTCCCTCCTCCATCCCTCCCCCGGCAGGGGCGCTCTCGCCCCTCCATAAAGCCGGCCGGTCCCGGCGCTGTCTGTGCCCGCCCGGCCATGCACCCCGCGCCCCGCCGCGGAGCATCCCTGGAAGCGGCGCCGAGCCGGGATCCCGCCGGACAGGTGAGGGGAGCGGGATGGGCACAGGGAGGGGAGCGGAACCGGCGCCGGTTTTGGGGGGAAAACGCTGCTTCTCTGAAGTCGCGGTTCTCGGAGCGGGGATTTGGGGGAAAGCGCAGCTTCCTGGTCCCGGTTACTTGGAGAGCGGTTAATTGCCCTGGGATGCGGCTCCTCTGGTATCGGTGGGAGCGTTTCATCGCTGGGATTGGGATGGGACTGGTTATGCTGCTTCTGGTCAGAAGTGTGGGGGAAAAAAGTAGTAAAACACAAATGCGAGCACATGAAATTAAGGTAGAATAAAAGTAACTTTTGGTGCATCGTTGCTTAGGAGACACAGGGTGTGATATAGCCCAGAAAAACTCACTCCTAGGTTATTTCCCGTTACAGTGGGAATATGCTCAATGTGTCAGAGAAGATCAGATAAAATCAGAGCTTATGTGCTGGCTGCAGTTACTGATAAAGTCTGTAAAATTCCTTGTGAAAACAAGAATGCTGTAATGGAGAAAAGTTTCACAAAAATGTTGGTTTGCTGTAGCCCTCGGATGTTTGGAAGCCAAATAAGGTGTTCAGCACAGCTTTTGGTTTGGTGACTAAGAACTAAATCTAAAGAAGACATTTGGTGTGGCTGGAAAATGTACACGTAAAGTGACATCTAGTCGTGGTCACTTGTAATATCATGTCTTCACCCTTCCCTACTAAGAAGTGTGTCAAAAGGACAGCGACAAAGTAAGCAGCTACTTAGAGGGAGGAGGTTATAAAATGTCCACTGAGACTTTTTATCAAGCATGATTAATGTCAATCCGTATCAAATATTTTTTTAAAAATATTTTTTTGTTTTCAATGTATGGCTCTAAAATGTAATTTCCTTTAGATGAATATGTTTGGATAATTTTAAATCCTGGTCATCCATTAGTATAATGAATTAAATCACAAAACATGCACCCTCAAATATCTATCTCACACAGAATATTCTTTGGGGAGGAGGAGAAAGGAAAGGTAATTGCTATGAGCTCCAAAAAGAATAATCTTTAACCTCACAACACCTAGTTATTGATCTAAATAAAGGCTTTAGGATATCCTTCTGTTTGCATATTTTCATCAAGACAGAGTCGGTTGATGGAAAATCAGTTCATGATTTACATCACTCATAAAAAACATCAATGCAATATTAATTCCCCCTCATCCTCCAAAAGGCTTGAATGTGTTACCGTGCAAAGGAAAAGTGTCTGATTTTATTACAGTTTAGTTATTGATACAGATTAAAAAATGAATGTGAAGGTGCAGCCATTGGAGGAGAGGAATTGTTTTGCATTACCATTTTCTCTTGTTGCCTTGCACCCAAATGGTTGCTGCATTAATACAGACTTGTCTACAGTCCAGTTTCTGATTGAAAGTGAAAGATCAGCATTAGTGTAGGGTTAAAGATGTAATTGGTGTGCGTTTGGCATTGTAGGCATCTGAATTTCTCTTCTGCAGCTTCTTCTAATTTGCAAGTTAGAAGTAATTTCTAGAACTTAATATAAGAACATACTGCATTTTGTTGTATTTTCTTCATCGGTCTCTTAAACCTATAACTTTATAAATGTTGTCACCTGATTCTAGACACAGTTAGTTGCAGCAGCGAAATACAAAATAAGAACTCTTTGATGCCTGTATTCTGTTCTAGCTGTGCACCTTATAATATTGCATGTAACTGTGCAAAATCTCATAAGGTGATCTGGTCTTCAGTCATGATCCTGAATATGGAATGAAGCCAACATGCTGCATATTAGTCACATATATAAAGCAGCCCATCAGTTACTGCCTTCAAAGACCACCATCTAACTCTATTTGTAGCGGAGACTTCTTTGCATCCAGTTTCTTCTACAGCAGTACAATCTGAATAGGATTTGGCTCACACAAATGGCCGTCTTTGCACTTGAGAAAACAGCCAATAGCCTATATGGAATTGTGGAGTCAGTAGATATTCCTTTTCTACTTGAAGTACCTTTGCTCAGTGCCTCTTCCTGGCTCTTGTGATCATGATCTGGACACTGAAGCAAACTCTGAACCTGCAAGCTGCTCAGCTGAACCTGGACTGGGCCCTGTCACACACTTTCAGCAGAGAATTTGATGTCTGGACTCCAGCTGATGGAGATTGGTGACTTTTCTGAATCAGAAACAGTGTGAAGGTCTGACACTGTTGTTCAGGCTCGTCATATAGTGACAACTCATTAGAGATGGGGACCTATATATCAGAAAATATCAGAAATCCAGATATTTTCATTAGCATCAGCGGGCTTGGACCTCTTCTATGGGATACCACCTTGGCACCCTAAAATGCTCACATATAGTAACCCTCTTGAAACTTTTCTTAGAGCATGATCAAATATCTGCCTCATTGTAAACTACTCAATTTAAGATGAAACTAATTTCATTATTTTGTGAGGTAAATTGCCTTCTTCATCTGAAAAGTAAATCAGAACATTTTGATAGAAGACAGGTAAAATATGGGGTTTTTATTTTTAAACCACTCAGTTACAGATAGAAACAATTAACTGTTCAGTATTATCAGTTTTAAAGAGGTTTAAAGTTGGAGAGACTGTAGAAGGGAGTCAGTGGAACTGGTGTGTTTTGATTGCATTTTTGGTTTGCTCTTTCCATTTCTGAAAATGTCTCCAGATAGTCATATCTTTAAAAGCTGTGTCAGATCAAAAAATAATTCCAAATAGCAATAGAGTGCCTTCATTTTTCCTCTTCTGTCTTGCTGACTAATTCAGAAACCTCACCTTTTTTCTTTCTACTTTTGCAAGGTTTGAAGACACGTGAGACACGGCCTCTTCTTCTAAGCCTTGTATTTTTTCTTAACTTTGCATTTTCCACATTCTTAACTGTTTCAATATTATCTCTGTTTATGGCCTGGCTACCTGTAGCTAAGGATATGGTCTTTGACATCAACACAGCCAGGAGTGTGATCACTAGTAAGGTACAAAATCACACGGTCCGATAGTGTTTGAAGTCTGAATTTTTACTGTGTGATTTGGGTGATTATGCCAAGGGTTTGACATAGGAATTGGGGAACCTGGCAGATGGAGTAGCTTGGCTGGGGCTGATCGGAGTGGGATTGTCTCTCTAGTCAACAGGTTCTGGTCAGCATAACATTTTAACTCCTTATATTTGTCTCCTTGCTCAATGGAGACAGTATTTTACAGTTATGTAATGAGAGAAAGGCAAATGATTTTTCAGTTCTGGTCTACTGAATTCCATCTTTTCCTATTTACATTCAGTGGGATGTGGATTATTCTCTTTACTAACATTTGTTGAGCTTGCTAATGAAGTGTTTTGTTCAACATACTATTTCTGCTGACACCTTATAGTTCCCCTTCCTCATGGTAACAATGCTAGTTATAAACTACACATTGAAAACATTTTCTGCATCCTTGGGAATGACTAAAGATGTCTATAAAACCATTCAACTAAAAAAAAAAGGATATCTTGGTATTTCGTTCTCAGATCTCACAGATTCCAAGTGTCCCTTAACCTTATGCCTGTTATTGTGTAATGATTTAGTTCATAATTTTCCTTTTGTGGTTGACCAGTCAAAGCACAGCATTACCCCAAGACAAACTGAAATGTAAAAGTTCACACTTTTTGCACTACTTCCTGCTCAAAAAACCTTTTTATTTGTCTGAATTTAGTTAAATAAGTCAACTTACATGATGATTGAAGATAATAAAGAGAATGAAGGCAATGCATCTGAGAGAGGAAGGACAGCCATCATTTTTTCCTTGAAGAATGAAGTCGGAGGACTTGTAAAAGCATTAAAACTCTTTCAGGTACATTATAATCATATTGCTACAGCTGCTCTGTATTTTGAAATTGTAAGGATATTTTTGGAACACACTAGAATTAATTACATCCATTTATTAAGAATATGATTCTTCACCTGGCTCCCACTTTGCACGCAAAATTACCCAGAAAGGCAAATTTATTCCTCAGAAATTAGATGATGGTTGGCTAAAAATTTTCACAAAAATTCTCATCTGCACGGACTAAATACTGAGAGAGGTTTGTCTTTTCCCCTTATGAAAAGAGGATTGGGACTAGTTTTTGCAGAGTATAAGAGGTGGGTCTGAAGCTCCTGCTGATGGCAGGTAGATATTTGGGGTGCTGTGCTGAGTCCAGTGCCCTTGTCACCCTGTGTGTCCAGACTCTGGGTGGCAGAGGAACTGCAATTGCACAGCTGCTGGGCAGGTATTGTGTAAGGAATATATGCAGCAGTGCCACTGTGCTCTGTCATGTGGCTCTGCATGTCTTAGCCTGGGGTTTTCTCAATGATCCTAATATAAAAAACAGGATTAAATAATTTTTCAAATAAAGAAGAAGTGAAATTTATGCCCTGAAAACTATTGCTTTTAAAATTTCTTGCTTGGTTGTTAAATAATTATATGGTGAATTGATCAGTATTTTGGTGAACCTCCCCAGACCCAGTTGCTAATCAGCTTCCTATGGGAAGGATGAAAGAAAAAAGTCTGTGAATTTAAACTTCCTGACTGTTTCTCTGTGCTTCCTGCATGTAAATAAAACTGAAAGAACACAGGTTCTCTTTCATTTTCTTCTGAATGGAAAATCAAACAATTCCCCCCCCTCCAAAAAGCAAATTGCTATCAAGAGATCCAGTTAACTAAAATAGCTTCATAAAGATAGTGAATTGACCATGGCAGTAAAACATTAGTTTGAAAAACAAATTTTAGGTTTTTGGTCTACCTGTTTGAAAACATTACTTCTTACAAAACAGGAGAAGCATGTAAATCTGGTACACATTGAGTCACGGAAGTCCAAGAGGCGAAATTCTGAGTTTGAGATCTTTGTGGACTGTGACAGTAACAGGGAACAACTGAACGAGATCTTCCAGCTCCTGAAATCCCACGTCAACATTGTCTCTGTGAGCCCAGCGGAGCATTTCAATGTCCACGAATATGGTAAGTACAAAAGGCATTTCCGAGGAAAATGCCCTTCTGACTGTGTTGGTTTGAAATCTTTTTACGGTGTCCACATCTGCATTTGTGTAGTGTCTTCAGTCACCAGTTACCAGGTGCGTGCTTCTGTGTTGAGAGTGAGCGTAGTCTGGTTGACATGAGCAGGGCTGTGCTGGCTGGTGCCACCTGGCAGTACAGGCTGCTTCAAGCTGCTGCCAGTTGTGTATCTGCTGTCTGTGCTCCTGTCCCTCAGCAGCACAGCCCAGCTGGCACCAGTGAGAGTTCTGCATCCATGCAGGTCACCGGAGGCTGGCCTGTAGGCAAAGCCTGAATGCAGGGCTTGAGAACACCATCATGATGGAGGTGTAACACTGGCATATCCCAGTTCAGTTCAGACATTGGAGAGAGTGCAAGATGGATTCTGCAATGTCCTCATGTAGTTCTTGATTTCCTTATTTTTTAACCACTTTTCAATGTAACTGATCCCTTATAACAGTGGGAAAGAGGTGCCTTTTAACCTTAGGATGCTTCACATCCTGTTTACCTTTACTTCTAGCTAAAGAGATGCCCTAAGTTCAGGGTAGTAGGAAGCTGGTCCCATGTATTTCTCAGCCATTGTGCTTGTGAAGGACAGATCTGGTGCTCTTGGATAAAACAGCTTACTTTAGCTCTAAGTAAAGTGAAATTCAATCCAAACAGTGCCCTGACCTTTCTAAGTAAACTGAAGAGCATTGAGGCAGAAAAACAGTGTATTAACTGCTCTGCCAAGAGCTTGGTGAAGAACCCTCTTAGGCTAAAAATAACCCCAAAGTAGTTGGTAGCAAGACTGTAATGATGCCCCTCTCTAAGGTTGCAGGGCCTCCTATTCCTTTTCCCCCACAAACTCCTCAAAAGGCAAAGCTGGATGCATCTGAGGTACATAACCATAGAGAAACATCTATTTCCTGTGGTCAGTAAAGCAGGATGGGAGAACTCTAACCTGCTCCCATTCTGCCCAGGGACCACAGGCAAATCACTTCTGTACTCCTTTGCACACTTCGTGCACTACAAGATTCCCAGCAGTGCACACAAGGAGACCTTGTCTCTGTGGGAGCCTCTGGATCTACTCTAACAACACTTAAGGGCCAGAGAAAACCCATGTTAACTGTTTCCTTCCCAGAGGCTTTGGAGCTGGCTGTGCTCTGTAGGCAGACTGTGGCAGTGACCGAGGAGGAAGTGTGAGCTGTAGGCTGGTGCCAGATAGGCAGAGGAGTCTCTTGTCTTATTCATGCCCTTTTAATTTATAGATTTAGCTGTAACCGCCATAGCCATTCTTGAAAGCAGCGTTTCCTCCCTCAGCATGCTCGGTGTTATTAATAACCTTGTGGATTCCATGTGTTCCCCAGACATGGAGAATGTTCCCTGGTTTCCAAAGAAGATCTCAGATTTGGATAAGTGTGCGAACCGAGTGCTGATGTATGGGTCCGAATTGGATGCTGACCATCCAGTAAGTACTTTTTCCTCCCTACACCCATTCTGTAGTGAAAAAATACTTTGTGGAGCTGACTTTAAAAAATTGCAGCTTTTCTTCCTCCCTCTCCTCTCCCTCAGTGGTGCCTCTGTGGGTCTGAGCACCTTCTCTTGGGGATTTCATGTCTCTTTCTTAATTTAGGCAAGATTGAATTCAACTCCTGTGCCTTTCTGCAAGCTTACTTGTGTGAGAACTCCAGGTCTGGGCCCTGAGTGGTTGCATACAAATTAAAAAAGAAAAAACAAAACAAAACAAAAAACAAACAACAATAAAAAGAACGCAGGCTTTGTTCCTCCTCCTTCTTTCTTCCTTACTGGAGCAACCAAATTACTATTTGGGCAGTGCAAATGAGCAATTTGTTCTGTAATTTAGAATAATCCAGCAACTTACAAAGTTTGTATAAATACTGATATGATTAAAATTAATCCTTGTCTACTGAATATATAGTTGTATACATAAAACAGCTCGTTCTTACTTTGGAGTATTTGCTTACTTCCTGATTATTGAACATTTCAGACTATAGCTATGAGGTTCCTGTCCTCTCATTCTTACACAGCATAGTTTTGTATTTCCCAACTGAAGTGTCATGCGTCTTGTTTTAAATTAATTTATTTATTACAGGTTAGAAACTTATTTAACTTTGTTGTCTTCCTTTCCCCTACCAGGGTTTCAAAGACAATGTCTATCGCAAGAGGCGAAAGTATTTTGCAGACCTGGCTATGAACTACAAACAGTAAGCTTGAATTCTTCCAGAGTAAGACTTCTGGGTGCTTTGAAATAATAGCAGAGTGGACTGTGAGGATCTCACCTTCCCTGGGCTTGGATCAGGCTGAGATATGCTTGGCTCAGGAGTCAGAGCCAAGGGGGTAAAATGAAGGGAGATATAAGAGAAGATTAACAGGTAGATCTAGCTTATTTTGCAGCTCTGGTCAGTCTGCTTGGCCATTATGGCATCTGCAGTAGTGCTGGTCCTCAGATGGGCAGCAATGCCAGCGTGGTGCATTTGGACTCTGCAGTTCTTCCCCACTTCCCTGGAAATGGGTGCAGCAACGAAGGAAGAAAGACAATGCACATTGCTCAGCTGCCTGTGCCAGGACTTACTGGCCATCTGGGCAGATGAGTCTTCTTTGCAAAGGAGAGGGAAGGGAGGCAAACCCCAGTATAGCCCATTGACCACAGAGTGTAAACTCTCTGGGCAAATGCTAATACTTGAATTTTCTTTCCGGGTTCAAACTAATGCATGTGATGTGTAGATAAGAAGATTTCTGTGAAAAGAAATTCGAAGCACTTCTGTCTTTAGAGATGCTGCTTGGGGGAGGAGCTCTTAAAGCAGTAAGAGTTTCACAACTCAGTGCTGTGAATTCTTTCTAAATGCGATTTTTCATGTTGATGTTGCCTGATCGAATTTAGGTGTCAAGTTCCTCAATTGAAAATGACCAAGAAAGCAACTGTTACTACAGCACAGAGCTGATTACTGTTAATGTGTTGTTGACAGAGATTCCCTTGGGAAAAAAATTGCCATGCTGGTTACCTGACTGGCAGTGGAAGCTCAGTGTAACACTACCATTGCTGTAATCCATTTTAATCAAGCTCCTGAGGACTAAATAGGAGAGATAGACTACAATTAATATGTTCAGACAGGTGCTTGCCTCTTCTGCATAGAAGTGTGATTTTTACCAGATGTATCTGCTTTGTGCTGCTAATTTAGGGAATTCTCTTTTCCTAAAACAAATCAAAAGGGTAATGGAAAGTAATTGTAGACATGGAAGTTCAACTGGGAAAAGGATGCGTTCTCAGATCCTGAAGCTGTAAAGAGGTTATGCAAGTATTTTTAATCTTACTCTCAGAATTGAACACCTAAGAAACTGTTTACGGAACCAAAGCTTTCAGGCTCTGGTGACGTCAATGCAAAGATTCCTGACAATTGGTTTAGGTGGAAAAAAGAGCAAACCCTTAGACTAAAAGCTCTCCAGGGCATAGACCAGATCTCACTGTGCATTTGACAGTGTCTAATGCACCCTGGCCAGGTGTCACAGCCATATGGGTGTTTAACAGCAATAGTAGGTAAATGAGTCACCTGTTATTAAGCATTTACTGAGGAACATCCTTTCTTCCTCCTCTCCTTGTAGTGGTGAACCAATTCCGAAGATTGAATTCACTGAGGAGGAGATCAAGACTTGGGGAACTGTGTACCGAGAGCTCAACAACCTTTACCCAACTCATGCCTGCAGAGAGTACCTTAAAAACTTACCCTTGCTCACCAAATACTGTGGCTACAGGGAAGACAATATCCCCCAGCTGGAAGATGTGTCCCGCTTCCTGAAAGGTAATGTGCTAATTTTCTTACATGAAAAGACTAAGGCCCACACTATTTTGTTGGCACAAGGGAACATTCTTGGTCACTTTTGCTTGTATTTGTTCTGGTCCTTTAAGAAGCCTTTTGGCCATCTGTGTTTTAAAGTATTGTGTCTTGAACATATAAAAACAGTGACATTTGAGGGACAATGATACCTTGGGCTTGGCTAAAGAGATATGTAGCTGTAATGTTGACTCTAGGCATGGAATCACAGGAAATCCACTGACACAGAGATAGGGACATTTTTAATAAATGTTGGTCATTCTCAGGTTTAGGCCTAATTTTTCTAATTAGGCTAAAACCTGTCTGATTTTCCCACGTGCTCTTGAGGCAAGGTAGTGCTGTGGTTTTCACCCCAGTTGCAGGAAGAAAGCTGTCAACGTTGTGCATTCTACACAAAACTAATGTACAGTTTCTCTGTTCATTTTCAGAGCGTACAGGTTTCACCATTCGCCCTGTTGCTGGATATCTGTCTCCCAGAGACTTCTTGGCAGGATTAGCATTCAGAGTTTTTCACTGCACTCAATATGTTAGACACAGCTCGGACCCTCTCTATACACCAGAGCCGTGAGTCATTTAATCTTGTGGTAGAATTTGAGAGAGAGAAAGTTTTGATTCTTGCTGTTCAGAGCCAAGCTACTTAAAAGCTGTTCAAGAACACCACCATAAAACTTACTTTTAAGGTGCTGAAGACTCAGCCTTCACTGAATATAATGGAGTTTTAGCATGTTGAAGTCCTACCTTTATAAGTACAGGATTTTCAAAAGTACAACATGTTACTGGAGATCTCTTACTGATGTCACTGTGTGCAGTTAGTTTAATATTCAGTTGCCTCATAAATGTGGAGTTCAGATCTTAATTTTAGACAACTTCATTTGAAAATATGCATTTAGGTATTTATGGAGAGTTGGTATGACCTGCCCAGTTGCTTTCAGATAAGTGAGTGACATTTTTCTGTCTTTTGGATATTAAAGCTTAATGCAAGACATTGTATCTGTTCAGGGGGGCTGCTTTTTCACTTTGCCACGAAGACAAATAATGAGATTTCTTGTTTTGTTTCTTTTTCCAGTGATACCTGCCATGAGCTCCTAGGCCATGTCCCTCTTTTGGCTGAACCCAGTTTTGCTCAGTTCTCCCAGGAAATTGGTCTTGCATCACTTGGGGCCTCAGATGAGGCTGTCCAAAAACTGGCAACAGTGAGTGTTTGAGTGCCCGGTGATTCTATCAAAAGCTTTGTGCTTTCTAGGTTGATCCCACTCCATCGAATAAATTTTGGGCTTCATGTTAACATTAGCCAGAACAGCTGTAAGACATATGTGTTTCACTGGTCCCTGGTTTTGGGGCATACAAAAATTTTCCATGCTAGGAAAAAAATACACTTTAAAGTTGAGATGACTGGTATTTTTCTTCACTTGACTGTCAAGTAATGGCTCAGCTTCTGCTGGTAGGTCGCTTTTTCCAGACTGAAATTCTCTGGCCTATTTCTTCCAAACAAAACTTTTCTTACTAACGGGAACATGATTCAAGGATTTTAAAAGTATTTCTTTAATGTGTAGAAGGAATTGAAATGATATTCAATGTGGTGAGTGCTAGCATTAGGTAGTCTTCAGCCAAGAAAGTAAAATAATATAAATTAATCTAATTTTCTGGACATCCATTTCTGGCAAAAATATTTTGAGATTAAAATTAAATTTAGATGAAAAATAATTGATGCCAGTTATGAAAGAATTGATTTAGTAACTTTTTTCCCCACCTTGTGCAGTTAGTGGTAAAATTTCTACTACCTTCAGTGGGAGCAGAATTAAGCCATCTATGAAAATAATGTTTCTTCCTGTATACCTGCAGAAATCCTGAAATCCACCAAACTGAAAATCTTCAATTTTACAGGACACTAAGCAAATGAGAAACAAACTGTAGTGGGCTGTTTCCACTCACTCAGAGGCCCTCTCTATCCAGTGTTTCTTTTAAGCTGAGGCTGTTATTTCACGTCAATATTTCTCGAAACAGATTTACATCTCACTGTTCCCACTAACATTAGCAGCTTCTAGCCTAGCTGGGTGATCTATAACATCCACCTTTCCCATGAGAATCATGTAATCTTGTGGTTCTTTACCCTCTTCCATTCTGGATTCCCTCTTTAAATATCTGAGGACAACTGAGGGGTGACTGTCTGATGTTTGCCACTATTTGATGCTACCTACAAATAGAAATGCTCACATCTACTTCACCACAGCATCTTTGATGAAGGCTGAATTATTTTACTTTCTTCTCTGTTTCAGTGCTACTTCTTCACTGTAGAGTTTGGCCTGTGCAAGCAAGAGGGACAACTACGAGTTTATGGGGCTGGCTTGCTCTCTTCGATTAGTGAGCTCAAGGTAAGAATGTCTGCTGCTTATTTAACTATTTTTTTTGTACCTGGTTATTATTGCCACTATTTTGCCCTGCTTTTTATAAAGTATAATTCTAAAAATCTTTCTTTTGAAAACTCTTAAATACCTACCAGGCTTTAAGAAAATTCACTGTGGCAATAATTATGGGCAGTGGTTGCTGCTTTTGGATATACGCTGAGCAGATCCCGTCTTTTGCAGGAAGCAGTAGATGACTGGCATTTCTTAACATTTGGGTCCAAGCATCTTCTTTTAGATTAAAGCTCTGTTGGCTTAACCAAATTCAGAAAATATTGCTCTTGTTTACACATGAGCCTCACATCTGTGGAATCCCATTTTTGACACAGACTGGCAGAATATGACCATTCAGAGTAATTCAGTTTGTTAAACTTTAAATGCTGTTTATCTGCAGATAAAAATTTTAAGATGCAATGCACTAAATATCGTCTCAATCTTTTTTATTCATTTTACTACGTGTCATGTTCCTCATGGATTCTTTGGATGGTGATGCTCCTCTGACCCATGATAACACACCACCAGCACTCGCTCTCTGACAGTGCCAAAGTCAAGCCTTTTGATCCAAAGGTCACCTGCAAGCAAGAATGTCTCATTACAACTTTCCAGGAGGTTTACTTTGTTTCTGAGAGTTTTGAAGAAGCAAAGGAAAAGATGAGGTACAAATTTTCCCCTCCTCTTTTATAGAAGCCGATTTTACTTTGTACACCTCTCTGTAGCAGCTTCAAATCCTTTTATTCTTATCACAGTTTTGTAATTATTTTTTTCATGGGATTGAAAAGTCAAGATTGGTATTTACTTTATCTTCCATGTGGTGGGTGGGAGAGATGAAGAACTATTTTTAAGTAGTTTTGAAAAGTGGTTATTTATACTGGCTGCATACAGAGGATGTATGCACTGGTGTTTTTTGGTTGTTTTTTTTTTCACTTCTACAGAGAATTTGCGAAAACCATCAAGCGCCCATTTGGTGTGAAGTACAATCCATATACACAGAGTGTGCAGATCCTGAAAGACACGAAAAGCATTGCCAGCGTGGTGAATGAGCTACGGCATGAGCTGGACATTGTCAGCGATGCCCTCAGCAAGATGGGCAAGCAGCTGGAAGTTTAACACCCTGTCAGCAGTGTGGTGCAATCCAATTCTTTTCTTTTCCTTACTGATTTCTTTCATAGGCTTATAATGTGTTGTAGGCTGAACTCATTCCTTTACAAATGGAAGAGTGAATGGCTCATAAGAATAATGTCATCTTGTTTCTCTCTGTAAAATCCCTTACATAATGTATTTCTCTATCCCCCTTAGATAAAAAAGGTCCAGAGCTACCTTTTAGAAGCTGATAGGGGAGTAGAGAAAGTGCTAGAATGGAGAAGAAGTGTGGTCTTTGGATCAGGGCTGGGATCAAATGCCCCAGAAAGTGGCTTATGAGGCAATAATGGAATAATTCACCATTTCTGGCCATTTCTGACTCCAGTAGTCTTTGCTACTGATTTTATAGCATTGAAGACTTGATAATGTAGAAGCTGTGATAATCAGTGCTTCTAAGTCTGTACTACTAAGTTTAAAACTTGAATGATTACAATGCACACATCAGGACACAAATAGCTGGAGGTTCAACATGATAAAATGGAGGGGTCAAATCTTTCAGAGGGATTATTCTTGTCCACAAAGAATTGCAAATGTGCTGTCTGGCATGCTTCTAGTATAAGGCAGAGATACAGCTGTTGCATGCATCCTAATTTTAAGAGATGTGCTATTGCCTAAGAGTCAGGATTTGTATTGCTGTCCTTGATATTCCACATGAGGGAAGACCTTTCCTTACAGAGATACCATTTGCCTTTTTCCTCATTGAAATAATTTAGCAAAAGTATAGCAAGACATCAAGTGTACTGCCTTAGCACAAAGCCTAGAACCATTTCCAAAGTACAATTTAATATTCAAAAGTTTAAAATAATAGCCAAAGTTCATAGTTTAGTGTGGTTTTTATAAAAATAAATATCCTGTTGATGATTGCTCAGTCACTTTATTGACCAGTTGCACAAAGATACGTTTAGCTTCCTCTTTACTTGGCTTGAACACCTTCACTCCCTATCAATCGATAACTGAAAGGCCCAAGCATTTAATAGGAATTCTGTGGTCATGAAGGCAATAAACTACCTTGTACTGTAAGGTATATCTAACTCCAAGGAGCACTTTGCAGGTGGTGGGAAGCAGTGTCCTGATGAATTGCCTGTATTTCACAGTAGCCAACTTGCCTGATTTCAGGGCCCCCTAGTTTCAAGCATCCTGCCCAGTTGTGCAAAGCTGTGCTGGCTGCTGCTTCTGAAGCTCTGCTGATGAAATGGACAGGAGGCGACAGGTTTGAATGGGGATCTCTGATGTGCAGGATGTATTTAATAGCACTGTCAGCACTGGTTTTTCATAGGTAGAGCTTATCAGGAAATCCAGAAAGTACAGTGGAAAAAAGAACTGAAGTCTTAAATACACTGGATATGGTTGTTCAGGATTTTGAGAACTTTAAAGGACTTTTGTGAACCTCTGTGCTTGAAAAGCAGCTTCAGTTTCATATGCTTTCATAGGCCACATGTGCTCCATAAGCAATTGCTGGCCCAACCTTTCCAAGTAGATTCACAGTTTAAGTCTAGATCACTTTTTTCTGTGGCTATTAACCCACTATAACTTTTTTTTTAAAAGAATATTTAAGATGTAGAATTATGGTCTACAATATTTATGGCCTACATTGCACTTCATTTAAAAATAGATTTTAGAAATTTTGTCTTTCTAAAAAAAGAAACCTTTTAAGTGAGTAGTGACAGAGCATCTATTTTGCCTGCTTCTGTGATAATAGTTAATATTCAAGTGCAGTTTTAACAACACTGGGATTATTACGTTGTGGAAATATACATAGGTCTGTGTTACTTCAAACCTTGTCTAAACTATGTATACATTTCAAATAGGAATCCTTATACTTGTTAAATTAGTACCTACTTTCAAATACTCTGTAAAAACAGCAGTTGTATCTTTTATTTGCACTTGTGTAGAGAAAAAAAAGCCTGCTAACAATAATACAGAGAAGATGCATTTCCATGGCATTAACCACGTGTATGTTTGGCTTCACCCATCCAAACCTCATGGCTATATAGAACAGTAATAATTTAAACATTTTAAACTGTTGTGGAGGCTTTAAATGTGAACGAAATAAATGACTTGCTGGTAATTATCAGAGATAAAGCGACCTTTATTCCAGCGCTGTAGCAGCAAACACAACGCGTTCGCTCGTGGCTCGGGGTTTATGCCTTTTAATGGTGTGGTTCAGATATTCCACGCCCGTGAGCCTGCCCCCGGTCCGCCTCTTCCTGCCCGGCCTGCGGGCGGCGGGAAGCGCCGGCCCCATGGAGATGGAGCTCTTCGCATGGGTGAGTGGGAGCTCGGGAAGAGCCGGGAACTCCTCCTTCCCCCATCCCGGGGCGACGGGAGGGACGTGGGGCCGGATACTCGACACCCCCCACACACACCCTCCCCGGGATGCACTCGCCCCCCCGGGATGCCGTGCGGGGATGCGCTCGCCCGCCCCGGGATGCGCTCCCGCCCCCGCCCCGGGATGCGCTCGGCCCGCCCCGGGATGCGCTCGCCGTGCTGCGGGGCTCGGCAGCCGGGACCGCGTACGCTGCCGCTGTCCCTCGCCGCGCTCCCTTCCCTGGGAAAAGGGGGCCGAGGTGTCCCCTCCCCGAAGGAAAACAACGCTGCGCTTTTGCGTGCTGAGCACAGTAGGTGTAAGAGCCACTGAAGGGGCATCTCTGCCCCTTGTCAGCTCTGTTTGCCCCGCCGCAGCCGTGCTTGGCACAAGCCCATCAGTCTGGGCAGGGCACACCATGAGCGGTGTGTTGTCGGCGTGGCCATACACGCGTACGGCTCCCGGTTCCTCAGGCTCCTGTTTCCTTTCTGCACCGTATCTCAGCTCGCCTGTTCTTGAAGGCTTGAAAATTCATTGCGAGTTATAGCCTACAATGGGAGCTTGTGACACACCTTCTAAAAAGAACTACGTCTGTTAAGTAGTAACACGCTCCAAAGCTGTTTGCCTGTGGTAGTGAGACTGTGAGACAACAACTTTATCTGCCTGTTGAGCTCGAATCCTGACATCTCACCCACCTGTTAGCCGTGGGCTGAGGCAAGCAGCAGGGTCTCTGTTTCTCTAGGTACAAAATGTTTATTGTTAAATGTGTCCTTTTAACATTCACCAGGTGCTGCATCTTTGGGGGGTGGAGGGTAAAATGGAGGGTGGATGGGCAGGGGGAGCACAGGTGAGGTAGGGAAAATCTCCCCTGGGGATCACCAGCTGGGAGTATGGTGGGTATGGAGTGTTTTACTGCAGTGTGTGTGCTGGGAAGGTTATGATATCTCTTTTCATGAATGAAAGTTGCTGCTCCAACTGTTGGACATATAATTTAATTGGCTAAAAAAAATTTCATCTCTTGTTACCATGTTTGCAGTTGTTGCTTTCTGTGATGGGACTAGTAGCTATAATTCTGTACTCATAAATTAATACTACCTATAATTGGTATATTTTCATTTGGACCAGTTAGAGTTAAAAGACTTTGTTAATGAAGGGTAAATGTTTCTGATTTAAGTTCCAGAACTAGGTAGCATGTTTTTCTGATCTTATTTTGGAGGTGGACTGCCAGAAAGCAGTGGTATGAATAAGATCTTAATGATGAGTGGGAATCATTAGCATTAAAATTAAACACATCCTGATAGCTAGGCTTTCCTCCTTGGTAACTGTTAGCCCACAGTTGAAGTTTTAACAAGTTATGTTCCAGAATGTTTCTTAAAATACTGGGGTTGCAATGGCAAACTTAATGACATCAAAGTTAGGACAGTCCTGGCCTGTAATTCTGGAAATCCTGTGACAGTAGAAAGAGCAGAGATTGATATATTAGGGGATTTTTCAGGAGCAAATACTGGCAGGTCAACCTGTGGCATATCCCCAATAAGCTTGTTTGTTCTTGGGAGCAGATGTGTGCCATTTTTGTCAACTTTAAAAAAAAATGTATTATTTTTCTGTGTGCATTTGAAGGGTGCAAACAGCTATGGACAACTTGGTCTTGGTCATAAAGAGGATGTGCTGGTACCTCAGGCACTGAAAGATGTTTCCTGCAAATGTCAAGACATTGCAAGCATTGCTGGAGGAGGGGGACATTCTGCAGTTATCACTGGTAAAAACATTGCTGTTGCATGGAATATATGGCTTCTAATCATGCTTTTTTTGTTTCCCTGATGGTTTGGTGCTGCCACCTCTCTGTGGCTGCTGTTTCTGAGCAAGTACAATCCTCAGTTGCAAAACAGGTTCCCTCCCTCCAGTTAACTCAGTATTTTTGGGAAATATTTTGGAAATTGGGGAAATTCTCTTTTTCATATATTGTGTGGTTACTTTGTATCTTGTGAGGTCTGTTTCTTCATCTGTTTTATGTAACAGCTTTTCATACAAGGAAGCCAATTTTTCTCTGTTACGGATAGGGGAGTGGGAGGGAGGAGTGAAGTGAGAGGTTATTCAGTCTTGAGAAATATTAAGGTAAGGAGCAGAAGATAACATCTCGTCTTTGAAAGGTTCTGTTGTGTGCCACAGCTAATTATGGGAAAGAAGGAATACAGACAGATGTGAATGTGATAAAAAAGTTCATCATGCATCTTATCCAAAGAGGTGCCTGTCTTACCATATGGATTGTCTTCCTTGACAAACCCAGCTCTCCATAGCTGTAGTTATTCAGAGATTTTAGATGTATCAGAAACACCTGTTTCTGTTACTTTTTACTTGAATGTAGTGCCTAAAGTGACACATAATCACTGTCCTTATTTGTCACAGGATCTCATGGATGTATGTTTCTCTTTTTAGTCTGTGAAGTGGAACCCAGTTTGTTTTGTTTGTTTTTCTTCCAGGTGGAGGACAACTCTTTGTATGTGGCCATAACAAAGATGGGCAGTTGGGATTGAATCACACAGAGGATGTGCTGCACTTTACCTTGTGCACTGCCCTGTCTGGCTTTTGTGTAAAACAAGTTGCATGTGGCTGGGATTTTACAATCATATTAGTAGGTAAATCTGTCTCTCCATCTGGTGAATGAGAGGCTGGACATGAGCTGGCAATGTGTGCTCACAGCCCGGAAAGCCAGTTGTATCCTGGGCTGCATCAAAAGTAGCGTGGCCAGCAGGTCGAGGGAGGGGAATTGTGCCCCTCCACTCCACCCTAGTGAGACCCCACCTGGAGTGCTACATCCAGCTTTGGGGGGTCATCAGCACAGGAAGGACCTGTTACAACGAGTCCAGAGGAGGGCCATTGAGATGGTAGAGGGCTGGACCACCTCTCCTGTGAGAAAAGGCTGAGAGAGTTGGGTCTGTTCAACCTGGAGTAGAGAAGACTCTGGGGTGACCTTATTGTGGCCTTTCAGTACCTGAATGGGGCTACAAGAAAGCTGAAGAGGAACTTTTTACAAGGGAATGTAGTGACAGGACAAGGGGTGACGGCTTTAAACTGAAAAAGAGCATATTTAGGTTAGTTATGAGGAAGAATACTGTGAGGGTGGTGAGACACTGGAACACGTTGCCCAGAGAACTTGTGGATGCCCCTTCCCTGGAAGTGTTCAAGACCAGGATGGATGGGGCTCTGAGCAACCTGGTCTAGTGGAAGATGTCCCTGCCCATGGCAGGTGGGTTGAAACTAGATGAAAATCTAGTTCTTACAGTTCTGTTCCTGACTCTCTTTCACACTGTCAGCAATGTGTGTACTTGGGAGGGTCATAAGGCCAAAATATTTCTCCTGCTGTTTTTAGAGTT